CCATCATCTTAGGAGCTCGTATGTCCTGCCAGCACTGCGTGTGAGCGGGAGGTCACCCATCAAAGACGAGCACGTCCTGAAGCCTTGATGATTCTTTCCAAGGATGGGCTGCCAGACAAGGGTTGCCCATTTCGGTCATTGGTTGGAATTCGCTGTGAAGCGAAGGCCAGAAACACCGCTTCCCAATGGCCGTCTGGAAATCGCAGGAAGAAGGCTCCATCCTGTCCGACGCCATTTGGAAAGCCAACACTGCCTTGGTTCATATGCACGTCATGAATTCCAGAGCCAAAGGACGAGCCATAGAGATAGATTTTTGCCTGTTTTTCGATAGCGCCGTCGAGTATGGGTATGAGTTGATCGAGGATGTCGTTGTCGGGTCCGCTTTCGGTAAATGGCAAGATCCTGCCGTCGGGCATATGGAGCAGGTTGTCAGTCCGATCATAGTCGAGGGCAAGGTCCCTCGTGCTGAGGTCATTGGCTGTAATGTGGCGGAAGCCGAGCCCTAGACGTTCGAGGTCCCGAGTAAGGGGGTGAGAGAAATCATGGTCGAACCAGTAGACAAGTTCGTTTGGTGTGCTCTGAGATTTGACATTGATCGCTGCCTTCCGCTCGGTCGTTCCGTTCTTGTCGTCTGTGAAGACAAGGTTGATATGAGGACTTGGGTCGTTCGGCGGATCAACACGGTATGCAACGGGTATACCTTTCCATACGCCGTAGTGGGGGATAGTCATTGTGGCTTGTCTGATAGACGAGGACGTGTATGAGAAGCCTGAAAACGGAGGTGAGAAAGAAGATTGTTTTGCATAATCGAAGGGTCAGAAAGGGCAGCATTTATAGAACTTCAGCTGCCGCGGCACTGGCAGAATCGAAAGGGCAAAGTCTCAGGTTGTCGGCGCTTCAAGTAGCAATTTTTCATTCACAGCCCTCGTATTCGAGTGCCATTGAGAGGTGGATTTGGTGAGAGGCCAAGCAGGGCTTATTCTGAAAACACAGCTAAGTCTTGGATGCCTAGGTTTAGTTTGGCACAAGTTGTAGAAGGCTGTTGTACCGCTAGAGGCAACAGAAAATCGGGCGTGACTTCCTCCTGGCTCACCGTGCTCAAGTATGAGATGGCATCACATTCTGATCGACTCAAGGACAGTTTCATGAACACCATGGGTAATGGCACAACATCTTGCTCAAGAGGCCACGTATGGATGCATCATCCGTTTGCCTGTCCTAGGGCTGTATCGACGTCGGTAGGAGCGCAGGCGAGTCTAGCAGGCCAAGGCCTTTGTGCCACCTGAGCGATCAACCACCAAGGCACCATGCGTGGAAGTCCCCCTGTCCCACCTCCCTGCTTTTAGAAAGAGGCGTACCTGCCAAGATGACGTCCGGAGAATGAGGTTTTCGTCCTACAGTGAAAATGTCAAAACTTCTCGTGATTCCTGGGGCTCGCTGTCCGTGCCTCTATGCCAACCCCGTGACATTGCTGACCATCGAGCGAGGCATGGGAAGTGAGACCAGGCGACCGATATCATCCAATAGAGATTTATTTGTTGCCCTCAGACAAACGAGAAGAGCGACTTGTCATGTATGACTTCTCGCGACCAGTCAGTGGTGCCTAGCTGCGGTTGTTACACAGGAACTTCTGGACACACATCTCGTCACCTCAGCCCTGGAAAGGGTTTGAAAGGAAAGGATGTGGGAGAAGACGTCGCACAGCAGCGACTGTTGGTCTGAGTTCTAGGTCGTTCGTTGATGGTCGAGAACCTGTGGAAGGCGCAATCAGTTGACCGTCGACATGTGAACAGCACTTACCCGGAAAGTCTAATGGGAAAGTGACAGGCATTGCCACACCCGACTTTGCCAACTTGATTCAGCTCAGCAAACGAGAATCACGACAGTTACTCACCGTGGTAAGGCGACGCAATTTTGTGGAGCTGAACCAGAGGTGAGAAGTTCGTGTAGAGTTCGTGTCCAGGCCTGAGTAGCGTCTCTGCTGAATGTGGGTTCGCAAATGAGCGAATCACAGGTGCAGCCTCAGCTGCGGCTGGACTCGTCCAACTCTCACGCCTCTCACGGCTCTCATGGCTCGTCTCCAGCCTCTTTTACGTCGCTCAAATCTCGCAACTCTCAGAACTCTCGGGTCGGCCTTAGCACCTCTGCTCCCGCTCCTCGAACCTCACGGTCCTGTCTTCCCGTCTCCAGGTCTGGAACAGAACGCCACCAACGGCACAGACCTCCGTTCACCTGCACTCAAGATGCATTTAAAGCTCTCGTCCACAGAGGCATCCGGGGAGTCCAAAATTTCTTTCATTCTCTATCCTGCATTTGTAAGAGGGAGCATTCAGAATCATCGTCGTCGCCTATCATGGGGAATATGCAGACACCAGTGAATACTGTCACTTCAATCCCATTGAAGACTGGTTGGGACGAGGGGGCCTTTAATTCGGAGCTGCTGAAACAGTCAATTGTCCCAAGAGACATCTCTGCTGCCGATACCAACAAAAAGATTACCCCTCCAAAAAATGTCGGGAAGCCTCCTCCACTCCAGGCTGGTACCTATCGAGGTACCAAGTTGGCTTTGACCCAAATGATGAAGCGAATCGAGACAAGGTATTTCGGGATATCCCATCTCTGCTCAAGGACGTAAAATACTGAAAGCGCACAGATTTGAATCCTTTTTTGACGTAGCTGGGTTTGAAACTAGCGTCCCACTGGGTCTCGCTGTCAAACCAACGGAGCTCTACACGTTTCAGAAGCCAGGGAGTGACAATTACCCCCCGCATCTCGACATCATCCCCAAGGTGGACCAAGTCAACTTGCTCAACATCTTCGATTTCATGAGGCTCCTCGATACAGGTACCCTCGTCGGCACTCTCATTCCGGACACCATCCTTGACTTTATCCATGACCATCCAGAGGGTCCAACGGTTGATGCCATCGAAGCACGCAATAATGAGCTCCACAAGAAAAAGGAGGACATTTTTGACGAGGAGAACGTTGGCAATCGCTCCGACTGGTGGACCGATGCCGTCTTTGCCCAACAGCAATTTGTTGGCACAAACCCAACCACCATCCAAAAGGCTTCGCCTGAGTGGCTCAAAGGGTTTACCGATCTCGCCCAGTCAAACACTGAAATGCATAGTCTTTTGTCTGATGGGAACCCTGACTCCTTCTACATCCAGGACTGCAGTTATTTCCGAGACGCTGTCGGGGCAGGTCAGCATGCAGACTTGATTTCCAATGACGGAATGAGACGTCTGTGCGCTTCGGTGACTCTCTTTCAACTCACAGACACAGGGATCCTCCACCCACTGGCAATAGCAGTTGATTACAAGGGCAGCCTTGCGGACTCGGTGGTCATCTTCAACAAGAGATCGAGTCCATCTAGCCCAGAATCGAAAGACGATTGGCCGTGGCGGTACGCAAAGACATGCGCTCAGGTATCTGACTGGCTCAGACACGAAGTCACAGTGCACTTGGTGGATACTCACCTGGTGGAGGAAGTTACCATTGTGGCAGCTCATCGAGCATTCTCGATAGATCATCCGGTGTATCGTCTCCTTCAGCCTCATTGGCTCAAGACTTTGTCAGTCAACGCGGCGGCTCGGTCTACCCTTGTTCCGAACATTATCACCAAGATCGTGGGAGTCACGGACCCTCAACTCTATTCATTTGTCAAAGATGCGTACCAGCGCTTCGATTGGACCGGAAGATATGTGCCGAAAGACCTGACGACGAGAGGCTTCCCTCCCAGTGAACTGGCTAGCAACCCGAAGTTCCACAACTATGCATATGCGCGAAATATGAATCTCATGTGGCAGATCCTCCGCAAATTTGTTTCAGCTGTTCTAGCCATCGACTTCCACTCCGATGAGCAGGTTGAGCAGGATAAGGAGATTGGGGACTGGACCAAGGAGATGCAGGCCGACGATGGAGGACAGATGAAGTCGTTCCCACAGATCAAGACTATCGACAGCCTGGTCGATGCTGTCACAATGTGCATCCATATCGCCTCGCCGCAGCATACCGCCATCAACTATCTCCAAAGCTATTACCAAACGTTCGTTATAAGCAAGCCTTCGGCTCTATTCTCGCCGCTGCCGACCACTCTCGATGCACTCAAGACATATAAGGAGGAAGACTTGCTTGCTGCGTATCCGATCAAGCACGCACGTGAATGGCTTTTGGCGTCTCACATCCCCTATCTCCTCAGCTACAGAGTGGCTGAGGAACAGAACATGCTCAATTTTGCCCTTTCCACAGCCAAGCTTGCTTCGTTGAACAAGCAGATTCAACTTGCTGCCGCAGCTGCGCAGCTATATGCTGATTTGATGGATCTGGCTGGAGTCTTCAAGCAGAACAGCAAAGATATGGATGATCAGACGAAGCCCTATGATGTGATGGACCCTGAGGCCACGGCAGTCTCGATCTTGTTGTGAACGGAAGTGCCAGACGGAGTGTGAGCAAATGGCCAGGCGGACAAGATGTGGATGAGCCAGGAGAACCATGATTATTATGAGAATACCGACTTAATAGGCATGATAATACGTACATGCGTTTAATAAGACAAGGATAAAATTTCCTCTTTTTGGCTTGTTCTCTGTAGGGGACTCCATATTTGATTTCGTCGTTCTCGCCGATGCCGCACGAGGCTGGAGGGGCTAGAGGGACGTCAGGGGCAAACGAGTCCCTACCCCTCATGTCGGCAATTGATCTACCGAAGTTTCATTTGCCGAGTCAATTTCACACCTGCAAAAGGCCGGTCTCATCGCCGTGAATTACTTGTTTTGTCGTATGAAGCCTGAGGCTGCTGGGAAGTGAAAATCGCAAATGGAAGGATTCCACTTCATCCTTCAAAAGCGAAGCATATCTCTTTGACTCAGGTTCCTGCTGAGAAAGTATTGGGGGAAGAATCGTTGCGAGAAAAGCACAAACAAGAAATAGGGCTTTTTAAATTCTATTCTAAAAAAGCAACCCCTAAAAGAGAGAGAGAGATGGAGGCATTAGCGAAGATGTTCTCGCTTTCCGGCAAGACAGCCGTCATAACGGGCGCGAGTCGAGGTATAGGCGCAGCCATGGCGATTGCTTTGGCCGAGGCTGGTGCAGATATCATTCTCATTCAGGTGAGAGAGTGAGAGACAGAAAGCCAGCGACGGCGGATTAGATCGAGGGCGTCCTTGAGAATGTTGGCCCAGCCTGTGCAATACGCTGACTATCAGATGCTCGAATAGCGCGATGAAAGCAACAAGAAAACATATAATCAAATCCAACAACTCGGACGAAAGGCCACGATAGCCACGGCAGACCTGTCCGACCAGGAATCCGTATCGAAGACCATCCCGGACCTCGTGAAGGCTGGCCATGACATGCACATTCTAGTGACGTGCGCAGGGATTCAGAAACGACATCCCGCGCACCAATTCCCTCTTGACGACTGGAACACTGTGCTACAAGTCAACCTTACGACGGTGTTCACACTATGCCGCGACTTTGGCGCCTATCTCTTGTCAAAACCCGCACCGCCCTCACACTCGCAGTCACGAGGAGCCATCATCAACGTGGCCTCTCTCTTGACGTTCCAAGGCGGGATCACCGTGCCGGCGTACGCCGCGTCCAAAGGCGGCGTGGCTCAACTCACGAAAGCGCTCAGCAACGAGTGGGCAAAGGAAGGGATCAATGTCAACGCCATTGCGCCGGGGTACATCGACACGGACATGAATGAGGCATTGATTGCGAATGAGACACGCGCGAGGCAGATTCTCGAAAGGATCCCCGCGGGACGATGGGGGACACCCGAGGATTTCAAGGGCGCTGTGGTCTTCCTGGCGAGTGACGCGAGCCGTTATGTCAGTGGAGAAGTTTTGACTGTTGATGGAGGATGGATGGGGCGATGATGATCTTTTTCTTTCTTTAGATGGACTGAGACGGTTTTGCTAGACTGCCCAAGATTGCCATTCATTTCAGGCGCGAGGAAAGGTCAAAAGACTGTCATCGGGAAGAATTTTTGCGTCATTTAAAATATAGAAAGTTTGCCGGCACTTCTTTGGACATTTTCACTGTAACCTGCAGCGTCATCTCTGCGCACTTCTGGTGCCAGTGAGCCCATTTGTCTCCATTTATCATGAATCCAAGCTCTCTGAGAGCTGTTTGTTGTCAACAAGACATTCTCGACCAGTTTCGCCGCACTGCGTACGCTTGGCACAACTCCACACCTGGATATCATGGTTTTCCTCAAAGGAGGGGATTCTGCCAGCACCCGTGTCAATTTCCGACATGTTCCAACCGTCAGTCAGTTCGTGGGCTACCAAAGGGACTCTCTCTCCTGCAGCATAGTGGTCAAACATCAAGAGATGAAGTCGGCTCTTCTGTTCACGATGGCCTAAGTGCTGCTGTCTTCTAATTGTCCACGCTACAAAGCTTTTTTTTTTGGCCACGTCTGCTTGCCGTGACATCAACAGTGAGAAACAACATATCTAGGATCGCCTGCCTGATACTGCTCAATACCGCTCAATAAGCACTCCTTTATTGAGCGACATGCTTCACTTCCATACTGTTGCCAGCCGGCGTTATTCAGAAAGTCATGTGGGCCGCAGTGTTATTGAGGCAGTTATTTAAACGTCAAGAGATACCTGTGATTGAGACACCATGGTCACGAGTATCCAAAACCAGCTGATTGTCTTTCTCTGTCCTTTTGTGTTGTTTCTTTCGCTCTTTCATACTTCAAGACAAGGTAATTGTGGAACTCCAAAGAACTGCTTTTGTTATGCTGGTTTTTCACCAGTTGAGACACAACTGCTTAACCTTCTTTCACATAATTTCATTGACCCAAGACAAAAGACCCATACTATCTTCTCACTCCCAGGCCCTACGCAAACATTCCATCCCGAAAGTTGGGCCCATACACCTGGACCATATCAAACTGAAAAAAAAAAAAAAAAATGGACAAAATTGGCCGTTTATTTTCAAACGTGCTCGACACAGTGTCTGAAGCATTCCAAAACCATGCAAACAACCATATCAACTCGCAACCGGGTCATCATGCCAGACGGGATCTAGCTGATGGGAATATAAGTCTCCGGGCTGCTCGGAGCTCTTTCAACGGTACCAAGCCCACCATTCCTATCTCCAACCTTGCAGTAGCAGGTGGCAACCCTCCCACTGTCTCTCCCTTCTACACCGGTTTGAACGGAGTCAATCTGGAAATGGATGCTCAGCTGGTCAAAATGTTGTGGCTTTCGATCATCGCCGCACTCACGATTGTGTTTGCTCTGCGACTGTCCCAGCTGTTTGTATCTTACATCCGGAACATCTACTGCATGACGACAGAAAAGCCCTCTCAACAGAACTACTACGGCGTCGATCACTTCAGGATCTGGAGTTGGCTGAAGAAGCATATCATCTACGCACCGCTCTGGAAGAAAAGACACAACCGCGAGTTCCAACTATCCGGCGCGGTCAACTATGGCACCCTGCCAAGCCGTATCCACTCATTGCTCCTGTTCATTTATGCGATCACCAATTTGATCTACTGTCTTCTCCTCGATTGGGGCAACCCGCAGAAGGGGGCGTTGTACGCGGAGCTACGTGGACGAAGCGGCATCCTGGCCACCGTCAACATGATTCCTCTTATCGTGCTCGCTGCGAGGAACAACCTCATAATACCGATTCTCAGAGTCAGCTTCGACACATTCAATCTTTTCCACCGCTGGATCGGCAGATTGGTCGCCGCATTATCGGCCATCCACTTCTTCGCGTGGCTGGCTGCATATAAATTGGCCAAAGGAAACCAGGCAACGTTCAGGATTTTCAAAGGCGCTCCTTTTCTCGACTACGGCCTCTTAGGCTTGGTTGCGATAGTCTTGTTGCCACTGCATTCATTGTCACCCATTCGACACGCCTTTTACGAGACGTTTCTTCACTTTCACCAATGGCTGGCATTCTTTGCCCTGCTCGGGGTATATGTCCATCTCGACATTATGCGTCTACCGGCCTACCCGTCAATCTTGACTGCGGTGTTGCTTTTATTGGCGGAAAGACTTTGGCGCTTGGGTACCATCGCATATCTCAATTACTCCCGGTCAGGCGGCATGACAACCGCGATCGTTGAGGCGTTACCAGGTGATGCATGTCGTGTCACCTTTCAATTACCGCGGCGTATCACAATCCGGCCGGGAAGTCACATGTATGCATATCTCCCATCGATCTCGCTTTGGATGTCGCATCCATTCTCAGTCGCCTGGACCAATGTCGAATCGGAACCCCCAGTCTGTGGCCACAATTTCGAATTGCACAGACCATCGACCCCGAACTCTTTGGAGAGACAGTCAATCTTCAGCTCACTATCAAAAGCACCCACAACAGTCTCGCTAGTTATGGTCGCACGAACTGGAATGACGAGACAGCTATACCAGAAGGCTCGTGCTGTTCCCAATTGTCAGCTTCAATTACGAGGATTTCTGGAAGGTCCCTATGCCGGTCACGACTCGCTTGTCAGTTACGGTACGGTGGTCATGTTCGCGGGCGGCGGTGGCATCACCCATCATCTTATTCAGATCCGACACCTCCTGGCAGGTGCGCGGGCTCAAACTGTAGCGACACGCAAGATTGTGCTCGTCTGGTCGATCCGCGACACCGAGTGCATGGAGTGGGTGAAGCCGTGGATGAACGAGATCTTACACATGGAAGGCCGGCGAGAAGTTCTCATGATCAGAGTGCATGTCAGCAAACCGACGAGAGCGATTAATCATAGCAAGAGTAAGCCTACCATGCAGATTGCCAAAGGGAGGGTTGATCCTGGCGCTGTGCTGGACGAGGTGATTCCTGTGAGGGTCGGGGCTGTTATGGTGAGCGTTTGCGGGCCTGGTGCACTGGCAGATGAGGTGCGAGCAGCAGTGAGGAGCAGGATACATCTAGGCAATTTGGAGTTGAATGAGGAGAGCTTTACCTGGTAGTCAGGGACGGTAGAGGATGAGAAGAGGGGAAACATATGAAAAGTTGAAGTTGCCTTTTTCTGTTCAGTATACTCCGTGCTGCTGAATGCTTCAGCCTGGACCCAACGGAAAGAGCTATGACACACATAGATTGCCATTACGGCAACATCGCTTGTTGCAACGACCCTATTACCCAGACCTCCAGGTTCAGTAACTGCCTAGTCTGTGGATCGTGGCGGGTGGCCAAAAGGTGGCAAGAATGACGATACACTGCTTACGTATAGAGGCAGTATATAGACTTTCCATGTTGTGAGGAACAGTCATGTGGGCTCTCTGACACAGCCTCGTTCCACATACATCGTAGCGCGCAAGGAGCATTGGGTGACAGGACGGCAAGTTGGACTTGGCTCGGAGGATTAAGGATCTGCAGGTGACGAAGAATTCGTCGCATTCCACTACTGTTCTGGTGAGGGAAGTGCTTGTGTGGTAGTGGCACCAGCAGATGTTGTCGCCTCGGAGTCGGAAGAAGATTGCTGACGAAGAGGTTGTGTAGCCCCAAGAACTCCCAAGAAACCAAAGTGCGCGGCTGACCGGGCGAGATCGTCTTCTTCTTAAGGCTGGTGACTGCGTTGTGGAGAGGGACGAGGCCCTGCGCTTTGCCCATCTTACAAGAATCAAAGCAGACCACCAGCCAAGTAGAACAACACACCCAAGCACTCAAATCCCCTTGATCCCTCACACTCTTTGTTCTCTGTTGTTCCTTTCTCCACACAACCTCCAGGCTTCAAGACTTGTCTCCAACCTGCTTGAAGACGGGACCCCGGAACGTGCAGTAGTTGCTTCTGTGGGAGATCAGCCACTCGTCCCCTGCCTCTCCCCTGCCTGACCCTTGCCTGTCCTTTGCCTGTCCTACCGACCCAGTGACAGCTTCCTCATAATTTAGTCTGCAGATTGGGTCGCCGGAGAACAATACTCCACGCCGCCTGCTGCCGCAGGTTGACCTACGAGTCTATCTTGTCGCAATTCATATTCGCACACCGCAGTCAACATCCGACGATCGCGAAGTTCAAGTGGTGCGAGTCAGAGCTCAACCACCGCGATGAAGAAGTTTCTAGGCAACATCAAGAAGAAGAGCGGTAGTATGCGATACTTGTCTTGTTTAGGGTTGCTGAGGCTGATAATGATGTTGCGCCAGGCCCCGAGCGAAATGGGAGCAGCACCACCTATGTACTGCCACAGGGCGATTCACCTGAAGCTGTCCTGGTTCGCGAAGTCGTGAGTCCATGCTACAGCTTCCACATTGTCGCGGATCGCCAGCTAATATCAGCGTTCAGACAGCATTCTGCGAATCAGGCGCCCCCAATTCTGATACCGCCGGCGAAGAATACCTCCACCTGCCAGCCATTGTTGATGCTGCCGAATCGAGTCCTACGGCGGCCAAAGAGGCGGCTGCGACCATTCGCCGATACCTGGGTAAAGAACACTACCAACGAGGGTTTGCGCAGTACAACGCCGTCATGCTCACTCGCATTCTGACCGACAACCCGGCGCATGCCTTTACCCAGAACTTCGACCACAAATTCGTCGCGACCGTGAAAGAGCTCCTGCGGGAAGGGAAAGATACCAGTGTACAGCAGATCCTCAGGGAGACGTTGGACTACTTTGAGTTCGAGAAAGCGCCCGGAAATGACAGCCTTGGACCTCTGATGGAGATGTGGAAGAAGGAGAAGGGAAAGCGAAATGCCCTCCGTCCTCCGGTAAGCCGCGATGTTTCTAGGGTTAAGGGTCGCCGAAACTGATCGTTGTCGACAATAGCAGACCCAAATACCTGGTGCTTTCTCTGGCAACTACCACCACCACCAACAACCCAGACGCCGGGATACGCTTCCGCCGCCCGATGAGTTGGCCGGACGGATCGAAGAAGCAAAGACTACTGCACGACTTCTCGTTCAGACAGTCCAGTCAACAGCCCAGGCAGAGTTATTGGCGAATGATCTCGTGAAAGAGTTTGCCGATCGCGCGAAAACGATGCAGCGAAGCATTCAGTCATACCTGAATGCCCAGAATCCCGCGCCCGACCCCGACACGATGCTGACCCTGATCGAAACCAATGATCAATTGAACATCGCCATGTCGAAACATCAGAGAGCAGTTCTGCAAGCTCGGAAAGCGACTGGCATGGCGACACCTAGCCCTCAACCGCAATCAGAGCCTCAACAGAGTCCCTTGTTCACGCAGCACGTCCCAGGCCAGAATGTGTACGCGCCACCATCTCAGCCTCAATCAGCGCCGATCGACCACGGACCGTACTCTTCCTCGCCTCCTCGCCGGCAAAATACGATCCCTACACCCGTGAGCCCACTGCGGAAGGAGGAGGAAGAGCTTTATGCGCCGCCTCCAGGCCCTCCCCCCAGCAAAGTGGGACCGCCGCAAAATCCACCAGCGCCAACGAACCCCAACCCGTATGACTTCTCCAACGCCGCCGCCTTTTCCTCAGCCTATGCCGCTCCCGACCAGCCCCCTCCCGTCCCGACCCGGGTTCGTCCACAGTCGCATGCCTACTCATCCAGTGCCGACTACGGTGTGGCTGAGAATCCGTTTGCAGATGATGGATATGGAGCGCCGCAGCCACAACCGAGATCAAATGCGTTGTTTGACAGACAGGAAAGCACACCCTCGCCTCACCCTCCGCAACAATATTCCGCGAATCCATATCCACAGGAATTGCCGAGCGACCAACAATATTCCGCGAATCCATATCCGCAGGAATTGCCGAGCGACCAACAATATTCCGCGAATCCATATCCGCAGGAATTGCCGAGCGACCAACAA